TTCCCCACTTCATGTTGCAGCAAGGGATTTAGGCATTGAGCCTCGATAAAGAAGGAACACAATCTGGTTCAGATGGCATCCAGAATTCACAGAGTCTGGGCAACGTGCTGCAGACAAACACTTCAGTGTCTCCAAAATCACTGGTGTCAGGGGGAAACAGGCAGCATCTGATGGAACACTGCCCTGGTTCTCCCTCTCTCCTTCTCCCCGCGCCGGGAGGCACGGAAAAGAAAAAACAAAGAACAACTGAAGAGAAACTGAAAGAGGATAGGGAGAGGAGCGTCAAGGAGGAAGGGGAGAGAGACTCGACAAGATGAATTATGCAAAGCTGTCAGAGCCGGCTATTGTTGGAGGTGCTGGCTGTTAAAGGGAGCTAGCCCTGATCTTCACCAGCTCCATCAACCACTCTCACCACTCCCCATGGCGAACAGCCGTCTGATCTGTGCTCCGGCAAATGGCCAACAACAAGACGAGGAGGGGGGAGGAAGGGGGACGGGCCCGGCCACTTGGTGACAGGTGGATTGTCTTGGAGGGACACAACGGCAACGACAAGTGCACTCTTTATTACCGGTATTTACAGAGGTCACCGACAGGCAGATCTGAGCTGATTTGTACAGCAGCCCTGTGGAAATATAATTACAGAACAAAGGCTTGGAGAAGAGTTGCCATTTCAGCATTCTGCTCAGCGGTGGCTACTTTTTACAAAATGCTTTGTGTGCTGATGTCAGGAGTGTGTGCTAGCTCACTGTAAGCCGGTGTAGTTGTATAGGTTAATTATTGATTCAACTTTTTTTGCTGTTTCAAGATATCTCCGCTCTGAGTAATGATTATTGATATTGTTGTTATTCTGTTTAAAAAAATCCAACATCAAAGCCAGTGGCCGTTTGCCCGATAAATAAACCCGAAAAAGACATTGTCTCAATAAGCTTCTTACTGTTGTCATAGTTTCATATAGGAACACATTATATGCTGGTGTGTTTATTTCACATGAGAGATTTTTATATTTCTTTATGTTCTTTAACCTGGTTTGATGTGGGCGGGGCTCAGTTGAAAAATCATGATGTCATGTGCTTCCATGCACCAATCAGGATGTAGCAACATTAACATCTGAATCTGTTAACATTGTGTTATCTCTATCATTTATATCTGGTCTACCCACTACCAAACCATCCTGATTAAGCATATTAAATTAATTAAATAATACATGTTTATGTTTTATTTAATTCACGTTTTTAATGTTGCAGACAAATTGCTAAAATATTGGAAGCAAGTTTCCTCTTTAAAATTAAGATAACTTATCAAAAGGGCAGCTGATTAGTTTTCTAATGTATGTATGATGAATTCTTTAATGAATATTTACATTTGGCTGTTGCTTATTTTTTTGGATTCTGTAATAAGGTAAAGAAAAAAAAATCCAGGCCCAAGGTAATGTGGTCAAACTGCATTTTTTGCTCAAATGGGGTCATAAACCTAACGATATTCAACAAACAACGTATATAAAACTCAGAAAAGCCAGAAATCCTAACACCAAGAAGCTAGAACCGGACATAAAATGTAATTTTTCCTTGGGGAATAAATCTGACCCTGACTTTTGCACAATTGGATCACTTTCTGTCACTCGACTTAGTCAATTAATTGATTAGTTGTTTCAGCACTAATCAAGTGACTTATCGATTCAGCCCTGCCTCGAAAGTTATTCTCCTTGTTGGCCATGCTTGCTTGAAGCATAAAAAATGGCGCTTCCCTTTGAGCTTTTGATGAATAACGCACCGTGTATATCAGATGAATATTTAATACATTTTGTATAAAACAACTTATTGGTTCCAGGACATTTTAAGAATGTTGCTCTACCCTTTGGTCATCTTTTCCAAATCCCCATTTGGAAGCATAAAACACACCCGCTCTCATCTTTGATGAATAACTGAATGTCAGACATGAAACAAGTAAATCTCACTTCGATCCTTGAAACCTCTCCAACTGCCCTGAAGAGCCAATTGACTTGGACACCGTTTCTTCACACCATATTATACAGATGGTTTATGGTCTATGCTTCAAATAAGTGCAGAGGTGTAGGACAGTACCAGGCGTCGGGGGGACTGTACTCAAGTGGCATGGGAGTCGTTGGGACGCGTGGAGCTGCCCTGCGAACATCATAAACTGTCTTTTTCCGTGCCTCACTGGCTCGCCAGAGGATCTCTGTGTGACACTAATTTTGCAGTGTCGACTGTTCCACTCAGTGGCCATGGGCGACCGACTGTCCTGATGCCACTGCATGATCGAAGGTAAAGGTAATATAGAAGTGAGTTATATCAGAAATAAAAAAAGGTGCACAGGTTTGGTATACATTTTAGATTTTTCAGGCAAATATTTCTCTTCTAATTTAATCAGACTCGTCTTCCCATTACTTCCCTGCACTTCTGTCCCTCTTCATAGATTAGTGTGTATCCTCAGTAGGGTAACTATAGAGGCATATTTCGCATAATCAAGGCAAGACAGACTGGCTTGTATTCTTCACATGCTTAAAGTAGTCATACTGTAGTTAAAACCTTTGAAATTTAAAGCCTGCAGAAACACAATGGAATCCCCCCAAGAGCCTCTATGACCTTTTTTGTACATAATTTAAACTACCATGAATGTCTCTCTTGTATCCTGATAGTGTCCCCATGTGTGTACGGCCAGGACACTTTGATGAGCTGTGAAAAAGATGGCACCTTCTGGTCCTCGGAGTAAAGCATAAATGTTTATATGGGGACATGCCTGGTCACTCAAGGGCTTATAGCTGATTAGGACACAAATCCAATTCCTCCTATAGTGGGGGGCTCGCGGCTCAGGGCGTAAGACTTGTAGCATTAGCTGTTTTTCAGACAGTGAATCCCTTTACAAGTCCATAAAGAAGAGGGGGATCGTAATCAGGGAGGGTTCTGGGCGTGTCTGCTAGCTCTCATCCTGTGCATTAATCTGCCAATCTGGACGGGTGTGTACAATTTCCTGAAAGTGATGAGATGTGATTTAGATGTCCTGTGGTATCGTAAAACAAGTGTGTGTAGGGGTAGACTTGAGTGTCAGGGTTACAAAAGAGTGTATCACTGATTGCATCTAAGCCCATTGGGGAACAGGGTGATATCCAGCAACTCTGAGAGAAAAATAAGTTAAAGAGGCCTAGAACAGCTCACCATTTTCATTATCCCTGCATCCTCTGCTCCACCCGCGAATGCCTCCGTTTTCGGGAATTCTCTCTGGGCCCGGTGGTTTTTTGCACCGCGACAGTATGCCATCCTGTTGGAAGGTATTGATGCTTGATGTGAAACGAAGTAGATCTCATTTGGGGAAAGAAGGAGTAGGATACTCTAGTCGTACAGCTCAGCCAAGAGAGATATGGAAGTGTGTGTGTGTGTGTGTGTGTGTGTGTGTGTGTGTGTGTGTGTGTGTGTGTGTGTGTGTGTGTGTGTGTGTGTGTGTGTGTGTGTGTGTGTGTGTGTGTGTGTGTGTGTGTGTGTGTGTGTGTGTGTGTGTGTGTGTAAGGAGGCAGTGGAAAATGGCTGGTAATAAACACTTCTGACACACCGTGGCTCCCATCCGCATTCCACTCAAGGGTTTTTTACGGATTAGTCACATTCTCATCCCTCTTGTCCTTCACATTTTAGAGCTCTGTCTCCACCTGAGAGTGTCTTCTTTGAATTAAGAGATTGGGACATATAGGTCATAGGCAGGGTTTGACAATTAGGTATTTTTGCCTTAATGGAAAGGTGTGCATTTTTAAAAGCTACATTTTCCTATCACTGTTTGTACTTGTTATATTTAACTCATTGGTTTAAATACTCACATACATTACAATCTGTTAAATGTTACATTTTACTTAAGATATATTAGTTTAAATGATACAACTATTAATTAAGAATAACATATTGTACTACTGCAGATAGTTATATAATACTCTACTATACTAGATAGTCCACTGAACACACTTTAATATAAGGTACTTTCAGTGAACAAATGAAAGTGCCATGTTTGGAATACTACAATGTTTAAGCTTAATAGAAGAACATGTGTGTGTGGAAAATGTGTGTTTTTTTCTTAACTGTCTCAGTCTGCTTAACTAAAACTAAAACACAGCTTTGCATTTTTCCTAAAAATATATCTATTACATTTTCAGAGCCTCTTTTGAATACAAGATTAGACATTTTGACACGAGGTACAGTTCACAGAGTTGACCCAAATAACATTAAAAAATAACACTAACTTGAATTCAATTCATTTTATTCGATAGGATGCAGAATTTCCGACCAAATCTTGAACAGAAAATCAGAATCATCAGCATCACATAGAGAGGAATAGTATTTCTTTCTACTCATTTAGGCAAACCAACCCTATCTTTGTCTCACTATGTCACTGACTGGTACACCATACTTTATATATATACTGCAGGTATGCGATTCTCCATGAAATGTGTCATCACACTCATCATCTCTACTGCTCTGTGTGCAGCGTTTGACACTGGGTTAACATGCGTATCAAGGGTCAAAATTATAATTATGTATGAGTTACAGTTTAAATTAAAAATTAAAGCGTGATATGATTGTGTCAAAAAGTCAGTTGCCACCGTGATGTATTGATTTACCCGTCATTTAACCGGCCACTGACACTTGGGGGATGTTAATTTTAGCTTATCGTCATGGGAAAATTGAAAGGCTCAACATTTTTTTACTCATTAAAATGTTATTATGTGCAACTACCTCGAGCTGTAGTAAAAACTACTTTTACTTGAGTGAAAGTGAACCTAATTTTGAATGCTGAAGCAGACAGAATAGGGAGGTGATCTTCTCTTGAGAGGGGAAGTCATGTATGACAAGAGTTCACGGGTGAGGTTTCAGGGATGGTGCAGTAGCGGTGGGGGTGGGGCACTGAGAAGGGGATAAGTGTGTACTTTTGAAGATGAAGCAGATGGATTAGTGTTATCTGAGCTCCTTGCTTCCTTTCCTCTCCTCTCTCTTTTTCTCCAGGTAGAGTGGACCGAAGCCTGAATGGACTAAAGAAGAGACCGACAGAGGTTCAAAAGTGGGGAGGAGGAGACTTTGGGGGTACAGCAATACAACCAGGAGAGGAAGAGAAGGAGGGGAAAAGACTGAAATAATCCAGTGGCGAGACTCCCAGGATAGCGTGGTGGTGCAGGGGAGGGAGTTGGATACCCAGCATGCAGGCAGCATGGAACGGGTGAGGGAGCAGCGGCCTTTCTGCTCGCTGTCCAAGAGCCAGAGAGACCGAGAGAGATTCTGCGAGAGAGATAAGGATCGGGAACGCCGATACACCGCCTCCTCGGCTGGCAGGGAGGAGGGACCCTGCCGCGTACCCACTCAGCAATCCTACAGCTCCAGTGAGACGCTCCAGGCTTTCGAACATGACCCTTCCCGGATGCTGTTCGGAGGCAGAGTCAAAGACATGGTCCACAAGGAGAGCGCAGAGTACAGCAGGCCAGGTTAGCAAGAGCAAATGTTTATTCTCATTTCCTAACATTTGTCTGATGAATCTCCATAATATCAGCTAAGTGGGTATTAAAGCTGACATGGATAAGTAGAAGACAATTATATTGAACTTTAAAGCCCACAGTTAGTTGATCCTGGTTATACAGAAAGTATGATAAGTAGTTACAAAATTAAGAACTTTATCCACAATTCTGAAAAATACATGTAAAGATCCAGTTTGTCAGAGATATACATGGCAAACAACACATTTCTTATATCCATTATTATTATTTACTGATGTTTATTCGTATTAGTTAAACTAGTTAAATGTCATTGGTAAATTAACATGGGTGCTGGGATTTTGTTTGTTGTGTTTACTCCATGCTACCATTTGTATCTCCCACTAATTGTGTGCAAGTTTGACAAAGAACGTCTACTATGCCAGAATTTACTTTAATTTCCCCACCTTTTAAGAGAAAACTTACTTTGGTTGGGATACATGTCCGACCTTATAAAATGTTCATGCTGTTAAAATATGAAAGGAAAACTCCCAGTAAATAACCCTGTCCTTTAATTGGCTGTTAGAAACTGCTCTAATTTCTGTAATTAAAAAGTTTGAGCAGTAATGGTACTCTTTTGGCTCGCAAAATTGCAATTAGAAAATCTATCCATTTCTCCCTTACATTTTCTTTCTGCTAATTGGTGCCCATTTTAGTATTAATAGGATTATTATGAAGTTGTGGGAAGAATGTCTTTTTTCTTTATTGCTTTTTTAAATGTTGGCAATTAATGTCAATTACATTGTTTCTTATACAATCACAGTAAATGTCAGACTTAATGTTATTCATTCGGTAGTGGAAAAATAACATATTTTGTGTAAATGAGTGTACATTAGCTACAGTATCTGCTCAAGTGTGTGTGTGTGTGTGTGTGTGTGTGTGTGTGTGTGTGTGTGTGTGTGTGTGTGTGTGTGTGTGTGTGGTGTGTGTGTGTGTGTGTGTGTGTGTGGGTGTGATGGTGTATGAAAATGTCTTTATCTAATGATCATTTTAATATGAATATATTATGAATATGTATTTTTATGTGAGGAAAATCCATTTTCTGAATAACATTTTCAGAAATCTTCATTTTCAGATGTGCCACACTTACTTTGAAAGTGTTTTTCTGCATCAATTCCATGACAACTAAATACATTACAAAGAGACATTATAAAGAAACTTTTGGACTTCTAATTGAGATATATACATTTAAAAATATATGTTAGATCATCTTGAACACATTGTTCAAAGTGCGGTGTTTATTTTTCTTATTTTTAACAATGTTGACACATATGACCTTGAACTCTTAAAAATGTAATCTTTATAAATAATACTGCATTGCCAATACATTATGTTATATATATATATATATATATATATATATAGTATTGCCTTCAAATAAGTTTGATGTTATTTACATCTAAAACACACCGAAATAAAACATAGAAAAGGAAGGTTTTAGCTCAAATAATTTTTATTTAATTCATATTTTTTTTACATGGGCTATCATTATGATACTGACCTAAAGGAAAACATAATACAATTGCATGCATAGAATATATATTTAAAATGACAGCTTTGCAGTTAAACATTAAGAATATGTTCTTGTTTTTTCTGAAGCTTTGTTATACAGTCACTATGAGGTATTTTAATTTATCTGCAAAATGTGTGTGTCTTAAATGTAATAACTTTGTTTTGCTTGAATGCAACAGTGTCTTTGAAGGCTTTGCAAATTAAGAAACAAAATAATATTACAAGAGAAGAAACAACCAAATGATGGTAATAATGTATTCTAAAACGGGCTGTGTCTGAAACAGTTTTTAAAAATGTTTCATATGTTCGGATTAACACAAAGGGCTTGACTTTCATTAGGTTTGTTTTGGTTTAGATAGATAATTAAAGTAGGTAATCTTGAACAGCTAATCTAATACAAAATCAGGTTTTAGCTGCAGTGTGATTTAGGTGATTTAAGTTAGAGAAAAAAGCTTCTAAGCATCTTAATAAGGTGATGAGTGTGAAAGGATGTTGTTAAGACTTTAATTCAACATTACCCCTTCTCCTTGCACCCTGCTCTCAGGTTAAGTGTTTTTTTTAAGTATCCCTGCACTTGGCCATTAATGTTGTTGTTGATTGGTTTGTTAACTTTACAACTCCTATCCTTCACAGGCCAGACGTTTTCGCTGAGGCAACTTGGAATCTGTGAGCCCCAGGCCCGCAGAGGCTTGGCGATCTGCCCTGAGACCGGCCTCTCCCACCCCCTCAGCAGCTACTCCAGAGGGCCGGGCGCTACGGAGAACCATGAGCCTGTATCACCGGAACGTACAATGACTCTTTGGGGAACGGGGGCAAACTCTGGGCAGGATTCATGCCTCTCCAGTCGCTCCAACTCAGCACTCACCCTCACTGACACGGAAATGGACAATAAATCCGACAACGAGATGGGTGAGTAGGGCACACTTTTGTTTCTTCGACCTGAAAATGCTTATTTGTTTGCAGCTCACATCACTCTGCAAAAGGAGGAGGGAATCGGCATGTATAAAAGGCAGCAGTAGGTTGGATTATGCTTTGACGCTGGAGACAAGGCCCTGATTGGTTGAAGGAAGCTTAAGCGTGATTGGTGGGGCCGGTATCTAGAGAGGAATTTGCAGCTGCCTCTCTTTGGATCAAAGGAGTGATTCCTTGCTGTGTGCAGAAAAAAAATGTGGCCCAGCGATTGAGCAGATCCTATAGTCACCTGGTTCTTCTCCACAGGAAGCAAAGGAGTTTGATAAAGTTTCCCCACGGGCCAGCGTATAATCAAAGATAGCTTTGTGTGCCTCAGTCTGAGATTTTGCTTAGAAATTCTGCAGTGGTTGACTGGGCATGCACAATGGCTGATTAAATGGCTAGGATGGTTTGAAGTGCAAATTTGATCATGCTGGAAACCTGAGACAGAGGATTGAGGTTCTCTGTTTGAAGAGAGCAAATCTTTGTTGCCTCCTATGGCGGCAATGCGTATAAGGTAGCTGCATATGCGTATTGTTGTTGAATTGACACTTTGTTAAACATATTTTTATTTTTAGTTCTGCTACCATTACCTCTTGCAAGGTCAGTTTGCATCTGACAAAGACATTTTCTATCTCTTTTAATGTACGTTCAAATGAAATGTAGATCTGGTTTTTAACATTATTTCATCTCCCTGCATTATTTGTTTTAGTTTACATTCATTGCATCTTTTCAGACAATTTTTTTAGTTAGCAATATTTCCCCCAATTTAATTGATCTTCTCATCTTCATATGTTTAAGTGTAAAGCTTTAAAAAATATCCTCTGATGTTAAGTGCTGCTGACATTAGACATCATTCATCATCATCATAGTGTGAGCCATCACCATTAAAAGACATTGAATATAAAGCTCCAATTATTTTAAGAAACTGATGATCTCAAAGAGTGGCAGGCAGTTAAACATAATTAGAGTTGATTACACTTTCCTGGCTAGAACATTTAAAAAAGAAGAAGGGGGTAAAAGGGAAAATGTCTTGTGTTCATGTGCTATCAATTTTTATTCTGAAAACATTGGCTCCAGTCTGACATTTGAGACAAGTCATTTTCTTAATGGCAGTATTCATCATAGTGAGCTTGTCTCCAGGGGGGGGGGGGGAAGCGCTGAGTAAGTCTTTTACCTTTTCAAAATGCCATCAAAATCCCCACCCGTGTATTTGTTCCAGTGTCTGGCCTTTGCTTTGGCCCAGTATGCATTTATGAGTCACTAAAAGCTGGGCCCAACCACAGAGGGGCCGGTAAACATAACCCTCACCTCCTTAGCGCTCCAATCCACTCATATTTGTTGGTGTACATGCCAAACACAAAACCATGTCAACATTCATTGCTTTATTCTCCGAGACAACGCAGCGTCAATAGGTTCTCCATTGGGCTTCGATTGCACCTGCCCCCCGCCACTTACACTGCATGAGCACACACACCCACACACACTCATACACTCCACCCTGCGCCCCTCTGGCATACCTCCTCTGGAGCTTCCTTTCAAAGCGTCTCAAGAAGCCGCTGCTGATTGGCTCCCGTTAATACAACGTCCCACTGAGACCTTATCTAACTCTCTATCGTCTCAATTAGTTTCATTATAGGAAAATAAACAATACCTAGTAGATCTCTATCCCAGGTGGCGTGTTTTTAATCTTACAAAAGCAGAAACATGCAAGAACTAATTTACTTTGTGTGGTAGTTTTTTTAACTGCACAGATTTTTTAATATGCTGCCCATGTAGAGAAGTAGGAATACTGTGTGTCGTGGTATTATGAAATGTCTCTTTTATTTTTGGACCTAATGTCCTTTTTGTCATCTAGATTTCGTATCGTATCTAAGAAAAACCTTGCCCACTCCACCTCTATAGATCTTGGTTTATTTTTAAAAAAAGATTTGAGAGGAGGCATTGCACTTTTGACTTTCACTATTTAATGAAGCAGCTAAGAGAAATGACCCATCCAAAGGTTTCCATCAACTGAATATGCACGCAGAAGCTCCGACAAGGGGCCGTTCAGCCCCACTTATTCATAAATGAACTCAATATTTCATTCTAATTCGCTCTGTTCTACAGAGTGTACGACACAGACAAGTACCGAAGCTGTGCGAACGTTCACAGAGCGCGGCATCTGCAAATGTTAACCTTCCCGATCCAAGTAGAGGAGGTCAGGCTTTTTGTAAATGAAGCTAGAGTTGTCGTGCTGTCGATCCGCAGCTTTTGAAATGATCCGCTGAGTGCAGCCACAGAGGCAGAATAATATTGGCTGTTTTTTTTAAGTGGTACATTTGTATTTAGGCTACAAAATATTACATGAAGTGTATTTTTATAAAAGTGATGGAGATGTCAGTTAAATAAGATCATTTTTAAGATAATTTGCCAACTTTAAAAAAAATGTTTATTGATTTTATGTGTTTTTCTTGCATTTTCTTTTTTCTAATTTTCCTTTTTAAAGCCCGTAATTGAATTATCATGGCCAATAAAACACCTAACAACCTAACACATGTTTTATGATTTTTAAATAAAGAAGTCAGAGGAAAAACGATGTCTGTTTAACAGCTTTCATTGATTTTACACTTAAGAAAATCCCCTGCTAGTGATAAAATCCCTTGAAAACTAAACTGATTGATTAAAGCCTCCGTTTTATTGGTTTTCGAGGTACAATCATCTCCATGTGGTATCTATATTTTAACTAATGGCACTATAACATAGTATTTACAACATTAACCTACAAAACAAACCCGACCCTAAAATTCACTAAGCTTTCAAAATGTATTTATTTATTTTCTTTGAAAAAAACACCTTGAAGACATACAACTCTCAAATATATCTAAAATGTTAGTTTAAACAAATATATAAATTACTTTTTTGAATATAACCCTGCTTATGGTGATATTTTTTAGAAAGTACAAAGGTGATTTCTCCTCCTGCAGTTATTTAGATAAATGCTTGCCTATACCTGACAGTTATAGCTCGCCTTACACAAACACACACTCACGCATCTTTGTATATACACACACATTTACATATGCGTTCTTACTGTCTCTTGTTACATTAGCGCTGTGACATGTACCAGCTGTATAGTTTTAAAACTTCATGCCTGTAGGGAGCTTAATCCTGCGATAAGTGGCACCCTGATTTATATAAAGGATGTTTGCACTGAGCAGTGGAAGTGAAACAAAGTGGAGATTTAACCAGTTTACTGTAATTGTAATTCTTGCAGTATGAGAATCTCTGAAAGCATGTTAATTCCTAAAGATTAGGAGAAGAGAACAGTATAAATATAAAGCCCCATTCCAACAGCGACAAAGTATTAGTTATTTTATATAATTCATTACTTACATCTACATAATGTGAAATGCATTAATATAGTGTTAGGCCCTAATTAGTTTTCCAGTGTTGCTTTTGTAAACTTGATTTATTTCAATGGTAATAGATTTGTCTGTGAATAGTCCTGTATTTGCAATGACGGCAGGAGCAAAACATTATATTTTCTTTTCAAAGACTAGTTAAAGATGAAATACTTGAACACTGCACTGGTTTCATAAGGTGACCTCGGTCTTTAGTGAGGCATTATTTGTTCTGCAGGGTTAGAATGTGGGTCATCTGACGTCCTTTGTGTATTTCATCCCACGCAGCCAAACAGCTGTCAGTGAAATATTTCAATTTGTTTAAATATCTTGGGAGAAAAATGGGAGATGCATAATTGTACTTTCATGCACTCTTGGCCTTTAAGTAAAATTGAATTTTAAGATGCTCTGCAGAAGATGGAATGTAATTTTTTTTGGGAACCCATCACAGTTTAAAATTACTTTTTAAATGTAAGATTCAACACCACCAAAAAACACAGACAACATATTTAAATGAAGGAGAGAAAATGTCCTCATTTCAAAAGGCAGACGTCTTACCTTGTGAACAAAGCCAACTGAGGGGGCCGCCATTCTACAGCTGCTATAGCTCTACCCTGCAATGTATTTTTTAACGTTACAGTTTAAGTGTTTGTGTGAAATAAATATTCATATTTTAGGTCATTAGGTCAACGTATAGCTGCTGTGGTAAAGTGAACATTGAGAAAGGTGTTTTTTTCCGACCCTAATGTCGACTGTGCTGCCTTCAGAATCAATATGATACCCCTCATAAAACATGAATGACTGCACCAAACAGAAACATAGCATGGCCCAGTTGAGTTGTATTCCTAATAGGGTGTGAAAAAGCGAGCACTGACTTGTTAGGTACTGCAGCTACGGCACTGCAGTACATCGTGATGTGTAAACCGTCACACATGAGGTGTATTGTCGGGTGGAGGGGCTTGGGCTCTGCTGACCCCTGGTTAGGAGAAAGGGACTTCCACTGCGATGCCTGTCATCCTTTGTTAAAGAAGCATCGCTTGCCCTGACCTGCACCTTTTGTCCCAAGTAGTCTCAGAGGAAAAAAGTGTGTCCCTTTGATGTTTTCACGGAGGATATCCAGTGAGCAGCAGCCGTCCCTCGCGTGTCTTTACCGCCTCGTTGGAGTCCGGGACTGTTTACGAGGGCATGTATCAGAAAATAATTTCAATTTGTTAAAGTCACAGGTCGACACTGCAGTCGTACACATTTTACAGTTGGGTATAGCTCACAGAAATGGTGTGAACAGTGCCAGTAAAGGTTAATTAAATCAGTGGAGGAGTCGCAGCAAAGTGTGCTGTAGCACAGCAAGCACCAAAGGCTTTTTTGGTGGGAGTATGAAAGCGTTTCAGACACCCCTCGAACATGCTTCTGTGTGCACGTGTTCCTGTTCTCTCACTCTGCGTCTCTCCCCCTCTCCTGCCTCACATACACACATATGCCTGCACACACTCACATATCTCACTTTGTTTCTCACTATCTCTGCAAAACAGAAAAAATAAAGCAAAAGTGCAGGCATTTACACACAAGCGCATGCGG